AGGAGCTCGTGTGCGGGAACTCCGAGGGACTTGAGTCGGCGGAGGAGGTGGAGACGGAAACTGGAGGATTTGACAACTTCACTGACGTGTGGTTTCCAATTTAGCTGGTTGTCTATGGTGACGCCGAGGAGCTTCGTGGAATCTACAACCTGGAGTGTGTTCGGACCTAGGGTAATGGAAGGAGGTGGGACAGTGTCGGAGGAGAGGTTGATGTGCATAACCATGGTCTTGGTATGGTTGATGGTGACATGGTTGTTGGTGGCCCAGTTTTGGAGACTGGTCAATAAATCCTGAAGGGCGGTATAGTTGGGAGCAGAATTGTTGACGCTGATCCCAATGGTGTGTGTGTGTGTGTGTGTGTGTGTGTGAGGTTGCGGGAGCGGGCGGTGTCCTGTGCCACACGCGGGTTGAATGGCGCGCGATTTGAATGTACTTCAATTACTTCAATGTACAGAATATTCCTCCGGCGGGGCAATCCGCGTATTTGCAAATCCGTGTATGCTAAACCCGCGTATGTTAAGGGCCGACTGTACAGGTACACTAAGGTGGTATGGACATGTGCCGAGGATGCATGAAGACAGGCTAACAAAAAAGTTTATGATAGCAAGAGAGAGGGGAATGTTTGTTGAAGAGAGAGCGGGAAGAGGAGGAAGAGTGTTTGAGAGAGCAAGTGAGGTGTGCAAGGATAAAATGGCCTCGAGACATTTCTGCCATGGCCATTCCCTGTTGGGGAGTTCCCAGGAGTGAACAAGGCGTCGGCAATATTGATTGATCAAAACAGAGGTGCCAGAGCGGCGCTCCGGTGAGCTTTGGCAGCACTGCACCCCTGCCAGTGAGTGACTGGTATCCAATTAAGCCAATTTCCAGTAAAGTATAGCAAGTGTCTGATACAGCAAGGCTGCACTGTATCAGTACTTGCTATAGTACTAAACACAGATTCTATATATATTTTAAGTTTTAGTTGCACTAGAGGATGTATACCATATATCGCGGCCTATAAGGCGTCGGGGTGCATAAGACAGCCCCCCCAAATTTCCATTTAAAAAGTAGCTTTTGAGCTCTATTTGCTGTATAAGACCAGTACCCCAAATGTGACACTTACCCACTGACTCAGTAGTCCTTTACCAACCATCCTTGGTTTTTTAAAATAAGGCCAATTCACTTCAAGTAATGTCATCAAATATTACCCGCTGGTGTAGTGTAAATACTAGTGACGTCACTGAAGCGTCTGCTATTTACCGGTAATTGGAACTAATGTCGGTGTCGAGTAAAATTTTTCCATTTACTTGAAATGGATTTACCGATTTATTTGTTTATTTATAATATACTGTAACATATTAAACACACTGCAAGTATTTTCTTTCATTTATACGCTTGCTTCGCACGAGACGATCGGTGGTGGGAGTGTTCCCTCGTCTTGGTGGTGTGACTGTGTTCTGACTATTTATACAACAGGTGGTTCAACAGCAACTACCGTATTCTAATTGTGGTGTTTCATTAGGATTTGAGTGAAAAAGGTTACCGGTATATATATATATATATATATATATATATATATATATATATATATATATATATATATATATATATATATATATATATATATATATATATATATATATATATATATATATATATATATATATATGTATATGATATATATATATATATATATACTGAATATACTATGTACAAAAAATGAATGTTAAATGAATTATTTATGGTGCATTAGGGTACTGGCCACTTCAGACACAAAGACGGGCTATAAATAGCCTTGTTATCTACCCCTACATCTCACCCTGAGCCAGAGGGAAGCGTCTTGGTAAATAACATTTGTTTGCTTATTTTCCATTTACTTGAAATAGATTTACCGAATTATTTGTTTATTTATTTATTTATAATATACTGTAATATATTAAACACACTGTAATTATTTTCTTTAATTTATAAACTTGTTTTGCGACAAAGGAATGTTCTCCAGTAGTGTTTCATTAGGATTTGAGTGAAAAAATATTACGTACTTACTACATACATTTATTACACAAACATATTTATATATACTGTATGTATACATATATACACATGCACACATTTAATTTACTAAGTCACAATATTTTAAAAGCAAATTACCCGACAAGTTAAAAATGTTATTAGCACATGATTATTACTGACGTCATCATGTATTAAAAACCTTCAAAATCCACATCATCAACATCTGATATCATAAGTTCTTCAAGTACATCCTGAGATACATTTATGGCTGCTTCATCATAAGGATCAAACTCCAAATCAGATGACGTGGCTTCGGCTTCTGTTTCATCCTCGTCCTCCCACAACATATCATCCTCCATACCATCCATTGAATTAGATATTCCGCACTTTTTAAAAGACTTGATAACTGTTTCCACATTAATATCATTCCATGCCTTGATAACAAAATCACACAGTACATCCAGTTCGGGAGCACGCATATTCCCACCTTTCGTGTAAGACTTTTTGCCGCTGATCATCCACTTGTTCCATTGTTCACGAACGCGGTCCTTGAATGGTTTGTTTAGACAAACATCAAGTGGTTGTACAACTGAAGTTAATCCACCAGGAATAACTGCAATGTCACTGTTGTTCCTCGCCATGCTGGTTTTTGTTCCCTCTGTTAAATGACTCGCGAACATATCCCATACTAAGAGGCTACGCTGTTTTCGAAAGCCACCAGGTCGCCTACACCATATATGATCAATCCATAACTTTATTCCTTGTTCGTCCATCCACCCTTTCTCGTTGACGTGAACAAAAACTCCAGCCGGGAACTTGATTTTGGGCATTGTTTTCCTCTTGAGAATTAGCATTGGGTTCAACTTGGTTCCGTCTGCCATGCATGAAAGTACTACTGTAAACCGTGTCTTTTCGTGTCCTGTTGTTTTCACTAACACTGTTTTTGCACCCTTTGTATCAACAGTATGATTACCGACCATGTCGAAGTTCATAGGTGTTTCATCCATGTTCCCGATGTTGCTTAATGGATAACAATGTTTCTTACGTTGTTGTATTATGTAGCGATGGAAATTAACAATTTTACAGTTAAGATCTGCTGGTAATTTTTGTGCTATTTTTGTCTGCCTCAGTACCAGATTGCTTCTTTCCATAAAACGGCTACACCATGAAGCCGTGGCTTTGAAGTCTTTGCTGTGCTCTTGATTTTGTTTAGCCCACTTAAGTGCCCACATACGTATCATGTTTCTTGATACAATATACCCATTTTGACGCTGCTCATGGACCATGTCTACTGCGTGCTTCTCTAGAATCGGCCAGTGTGCAGTGCCTCTTCTCATTGCACATTTATTCCTGGGCATACTTCGTAGTAAGTGTTCCTTTGATCTCCAATCCCGCACCATCTTCTCAGTTACACCGTATTCTCTTGAAGCAGCACAATTGTTGTGTGACTGGGCATATGCTATCACTTTCAGCTTAAAACAAGCTTCATATCTCCTGCGTTTAACAATTGGAGCCATGGTGAGGTTTTATGGTAGCTGGATACAGTATTAATATACCGTAGTGTTCACACGGAGAGAGTGCTATTGCTTATGGAGTGATAACTCAACAACTGGACAAGGCAAATGAGAGAAGGGGTATCACGTTTGGGTATAGATAACATGACCTGACGTGGTCACCTTACACATATATGGTAATCATTAAGAATCAAACTCCGAAACAGATGACCTGACTTCTTCTTCATCATTGTCATCCTAAATTTACCACTGTCGGTAGTTAAAAGAATTAAAAGTCATTTACTGAATATTCTATGTAAAAAAATAAATTTTAAATTAATTATTTATAGGAGAAAAGTATTATGATCAATAAATATATGGTATTACTGGCCACTTCAGACACAAAGACGGGATAAAAATAGCCCATCTCCCCCTCTTACAGCTGCCAATGGGAAGCGTCTTGGTAATTAAATTTGATGTTTATTTTCAGTTTGTCTAATTTATCATGAATCAAATTAATATTACTAAAAATTGTGTAGGTAGTAGGCAGCTACCAAACAGGGAGGTACTACTGCCTGGGAAGATATTGGAAGCATAATGTGTTGTCTAATGGTAGACCCTGCTGCTATATGGCATAACGAAAATTGTGACCAAGTCCCAGGTTGCTGACCTGACTTTCTGCCTCATTTACACACAATTGCAGTTTCAATTGTTCCTCTTACTTTGACAACACAACATACATACAGTATATTATTTCTCACTTTTGATCTTTTTTTTTAATTTTTGTATTTATTTATAGTTAGTTACTTAAAATTAGGCCAATTCACTTCAAGTAATGGCATCAAATGTTACCGGCTGGTGTAGTGTAAACACTAGTGACGTCACTTAAGCGTCTGTAATTAACTGTCGATAGTTTCAAGAATTAACGCACTCATTTACTGAATATTCTTTGTAAAAAAATAAATTTTAAATAAATTATTTGTAGGAGATAAATATTATTATCAGTAAATATACCGATACCCGGTATGCATTACTGATCACCTCAACGGCTAAAAATAGCCCAATCTCGCGGTCACTTTCCCTTTCTTGTCTCCTCACTGGCAAATGGGGGGGGGGGGGGAGGGGTGTGTGATGATAGCAGCTGTGTTTATTACAGGGTATGTTAGACAGGTTTATAATACATTTTTATTATTTTAATATACCGGTAATCTTAATTTGAATCCAGCTTGCCAAACGTAAGTTTCAGTATAAAATAATTACTGGTAGGACTTTGTGAGTGGCTTACGATGTTTCCATCACCACTCTTGACACAGTAAACCACAATATTTAAGATGTAAGAATTTTATATTTGTTGCTTAAGACGACCCCCTAACTTTGGGCAGATTTTTTTAATGTTCAAATTTCGTCTTATAAGCCGAGATATACGGTATGTCATTTGGTGACTGACTTACTGATTGACTGAGTGAATGAAATGTAATAGTAGATAAATTAATGTGTATCTTACACCTTACTCACCTAAGAAGCTCTTGTGTTTCTGGAGTGCCTGAATCATTTCTTTCTCAGTCCCAAAGCCAACAAAGGCTACTAATCTGAAGTTGTTTGGAATTCTCAGGCTTTTATAATTTAGGGGTTTGAGGAAGGCTTTCACACTTTTCTTTGTAAATGTTCGTTTGGTTTTGTTCTTGCACATCTCCTTTGCTCGAATGACAACAGTATGGAAGTTCTTCCATTCCTGAAAATTGTAATTCATTCTATAAAATTGAGGTACAATCTACGGCATCTATTACAATCCTTTTCAAATACAAACACAGCAAAACATTGGAGAACAACTAACTGAACTGACGACACTATCAAGGCCTCTGACCTGTGAATTTCATCATTCACTGTAAGGAGTGGTTAAGAAAGTAAGTAAAAGAATGAGAGGATGGTAATACATGGTGCACATGCTATGTGACACACAACCATCTAAGAAAGTAATCTGACTGCATAATTAGACACAGTACAGTATAAGAAGATTAATCTTTCAAATTCCCCAAATCCAAACAACTCTCCAGCACCATAAAACTGGATATCAGGGTAACCTCTTGGAAAATAACCTGAAGACCAGCATCATCAATCATATTATGCCCTTGATTTCTGAGGCATAATTGTGCATGTGAAATGATATAGTGTAATCAATATTTTGACATCAAACTCTGAAATACAGTACTGTAGTCCTTAAAAATTCCACACACACACACACTGACTATAGTTAAAAAAGGATATAGACATAATAAGATAACTACTAAATGTTCTCATGAAGTGTAGTTCATAAATGATGTTCACTACTAACAATACAAAAGCTTTAGTATATAAGGTGGCACTCATAAATCAGTTTAATACACAAGGATAAATTGTCTTATCTCTAACAAGGTGTGGCTTAATTGCTTTTTCCTTCTAATAGAGAATAACAAAACAAACTTTGTGTTATCTTACCTATGTTAACTGTGTTAACTGTGTGTGCGTGCTCTTCTAATGGGACTGAGGACAACGGTTCCTAACTACTCTATTAGAGAACTGTTGTCAAAATTTCATAAATATATAACTGTATTTATACAATTAACATCATCAATTGTTGCTATTCTAATTCTAAAAGGTTAAGTATCTGATATATGAATTTAATTCTGCAATGAAATTATGATTATTAATGTTTTTAAAAGTGGTATAGTAAACTATGAATGAAGGCAGTTACCTTTTGCTGTTTCTTCTTTTCACCCTCAGTATCACCACTGATATCTGGCTGATTTTTCATTAGACTTTTGAGATACTGAAATAAAAGAAAAAAAACATAAAGGAATACTGTATAAAAAAAATCCAAGACTTTAAAGAATAAAATTTACTGCTGAATGTACTTCAGTGCCTATCCTCCCTTGATGTGCATCTGCAAAATGCAGCATGCCCTCTCAAGAGAACTAATACAAGCTACACAGGGTCTCATTCTTCACTAAACTTCTTTTGAGAAAAATACATTCCTGGACCCCAGCATTTTTAACAACCCTCAATAATACCTTTTCAAAAGAATTAAAGGCTCTAAAGCTCTAAATGCCCATAAAACCCCAACATTAATCTTCATGTTTCTTCTAACTTATTTGTCCATGGTGGGCAACTTTATAGAAGAACCCTTCACTCTTTATAAAATTTATGGTCTGACCATCAACTATCTATTAGACCCCAATGATCTACTGTATATCAAATATCTGGTGTGTATTAGTGGCTAGTACTCTATTGGATCACTCCCTCTCAACTAATGAATGCCTCATACAAGTTAAATACAGTATAAAAAGGTTATACTGCACTGGGAGCATAGCACTGTGATAAAAGCATCATTATACCAGAACTTCCATTGTTTCTGACTGTCCTTTGCAATAATTAGTCCAGCAAAACCTTTAACTACAGTACTGTACTAGCCATAAGGGTTAAACCCATGAGGTACTCCCCAATAGTGAATACTGTATCTCGTAAAGTGATGACTGGAATTTTTGCATAATATCTCGGGTACTCTCTGACAACCGTCAAATACTAACTTGCATTCCAAAAAGTTATGTACTGTACTTACATCTAAATCAGAGACATCCTTTTTATGGGCTAATTTCTCTCTCTTTTCTTCTTCCTTTTCATTGTGCTCTTCTCCACATTCCTCACCATTTTGCTCTTCTACACATGTTTCTTCATCTTCAATAGCTGTGTTATTATTGCCCTCTACACACCTGTTGGTATCTTCTCTAATGACTTTATCAGCAACTTTCAGAAACTCAGAAAATCCAGGTTCATATTTGTACTTCTCTAATACCTCTTCCTTGAGGGATGTTTTATCTTTCCTTTGTTTGGCATTGTTTGTTTTCTTTTCCTTCTTCAAATCAGTTCCATCTTTGTTAATACCCTTTAGGTCTCCTTTAGCTTGTTCTTTACGTTGCAAGTTCTTCTTTGACCATGAAACAGGTTTTTGTTCACCTCCTGAAATTATATAAGAACAGTTATACAGTACAGTATATTTGTTTAGCATCTAAACTCAAGTTAATTCGATAAATTCTTCTCCACTTCATAACCCGATGTAACGCAAGTCTGTGAAAATCAAGGATCTCAGTGCTCATTCTTAATTCCTGCTTGATTATGTGTTCCCATTTACCCAAGTACCCATTGCTCAAATACCTGTACAAGTAAAGATATGGTTTACTGGTGCAGTACTGTACCAACAACTAAATAAACCACACCAAATAATATGAACTAAACTGTTTTCAGCAAAATAATAAGAAATCAAATTATTTGTTTAAGAAAAAGCAAATTTGTATCATTAGTTCTCATAAATTTTTTTTTTTTTTAAAAACACATAAGCCCCTCTGGTGCACAAAAGGATTGATCCTGGAAATTCTATTTATAGCTGAGTCAGCACAAAGACAGCTCTCTTGTTTTTGTAAATCAAGTCTTCAAGTTGCAATTAATGGTTATCCTTGACACTGATGGTTGGCACTAATTCAAACAACTGACACAAATCTTTCCTCACAACCTCAGCCCTTGGCCAACAATTTGGGAAGGGGAGAAGACACAATAATCCAGAAACTTGCCTTTTCCCCAAAAATCAACTCTAGTCCTTAAAATAGGCTAAAAAAGAAACTGCACTTCTGGTAGTTAAAGAGCCCGATGCAACAGAATGCAAGTGTGATCTATTCAAACCCACCTTAGCTAAGAAGTGTAAAAAATTATCAATCTCAACAAAACAAGCAAAGGGGGATGTTGGGAACTGGTCATTCTTTCCAGGTCCAGTTACAATCAAAGATTTCAAGATCAATCTCACAGTTATTACATAAGCCTGAAAAAAAGGGATATTTTTGGGGTCCTAGAATATTACCTCATTTTTAAACAAATTATCATTGATTTACAATCCAGGGGGTTTGTAGGAATAATGTATAACACCATGTATCAAATTGGAACATTTATACAGTACAGTACTGTATACTGAACATTTTTTTCTTTTTTTTTAGTACAGTAGCCATTTCATCACTTACCATAATTTTTACAAATTTCAACAGTGACTCTAGCCTGCTTGATGAAGGTATTGTTGAAGTAATCACAAGCTGCCTTTGCATCTTCATCGTTCTCGTATCCTATGAACGCAAACCGTCTAAACTTCTTATCCTTGTATTTCAATTTTATATCTGTTATGTTTCCCTTCCTATCAAATTGTTTCCTGATCTCATCCTCAGTAATCTGAAACAAAGTAAAACTATGATACAAATTCATACTTATTAAGCGTACTCTGTTGCATTCTTTAAACAAACATATATTTAAGACAGTTATTGGATTTATGAAGGAGATTAAATAAATGTTTTTTTGAGTGTACAGTAAGGTACCAGGTATTGAGCAAATGAAGAAAGCCTTTTGGTCCTCCAGCCCCAGCTCCGATTTTCCAATTAATCTATCAATATACCACAAGCTAAATCCATGAATAATCACAATCTGCAATCCTTTAACAAACCCAACCATAATTGATCACAACTGTGAACATTAAACCTTCAAAAGTTTAGGATTTACTCAACTGAAATAGTTTTCTTGAGCTACCCTTGGTCATATAAATTATCAGCTTACCACTATTTTTATACCTGCACTATTTACAAACTGATTATTTTTGGTGCTACTACACTGTAGTATGCGGTATACCGAGCTGGAGCTACCATAGTATGCAGTCTACCGAGCTGAAGCTACCATAGTATGCGGTTTACCGAGCTGGAGCTACCATAGTATGCGGCTTACCGAGCTGGAGCTACCACAGTATGCGGTCTACCGAGCTGGAGCTACCACAGTATGCGGTCTACCAAGCTGGAGCTACCATAGTATGCGGTCTACCAAGCTGGAGCTACCACAGTATGCGGTCTACCAAGCTGGAGCTACCATAGTATGCGGTCTACCGAGCTGGAGCTACCATAGTATGCGGTCTACCGAGCTGGAGCTACCATAGTATGCGGTCTACCGAGCTGGAGTTGTATCTACCGGAATATTTACACTGTAGCATCCATTAATCTAACCTAAGCTAGGTTAGGTTAGATTAAGAAAAATAAGGATAGTTTAAGATATATTAGATTAAGTTAGGTTGGGTTAATAGACACTACTGTACAGTGTAAATATCCCAGTAGACCAACTCCAGCACGGTAGACCTCATAATATAGTAGTACCTGTACCATATTTTGTACAGTATACATTATAAAGTCCTTCATATGTTAATAATATACTGTACAGTACCAGCAAATAACAAGGATTTGCAATTTCTGTAAAAGCATATTATCAATTTTGCTCTTAGAAGTGTTTCATACCCACAAACACTTCCCAGTGACCGATGATTTATCGTAGATAAGATAAACCAACCAAACCTACCAAACATAACTTATCTATCCTTGGCTGGAAATTAATTCCTTTAACTTATTTTAAGGTAGTTAGTGTAGGGCAGGGGTGTGAAATTCATGGCCCGCGGGCCAAATGTGGCCCTTGGGATGACGGTAAAATTTATCATCTCGTGTAATTATGATAGAAATGGATATAATCATGTTTATTTAGTAAAATGAATTTTACATACTTCAGATCAGACAAACCCAAATGAGATATTCCTGGTAAGCCAGGTAAGACAATGTGTGAAGCTGTAAACTTCAATCCTTGTGTTGGCCCTGAAGAGGGTAACTAAAATAAGAATTGGTCCTCGAAAGGTTTTGAGTTTGACACCATTGGTGTAGGGTGTTCATTTGTTATTTTATTGTTAACCCTTAGGCCCCGGGTGACGTTCCAGAACGTCTGCCTATTTTCACGCCAATGTTTTATTATTATTAAAGTCTCTCCCCGATTTACGACGGGGTTAGGGACCCAATTCCAGGTCGTAAGTCAAAAATGCGAAAATAATACAAAGAAAATCTAAAATGGGTGTCTCTTTTTCTTCTCAGCACCACAAAACTCTCATGTTTAAGTATGCCAGCCATTTTAAATGGAATTACAAACGAAAATTTTGTCAGTACACAGTGCAATCACTAACATCGGCACTCGAAAATACGTAATTTGAAAAAATTTTGGTACGACTGGGGCGGTTGTAATCTGGTACGTCGTAAGTCGAGGAGTAGCTGTATTATTATTATTTTTTATTATTTTTGGAGAAGCTGAATTTTTTCTCGATTTATCCCCGTGTGTGTGTGTGGGGGGAGAAGAGTACTGCTAGCAGCACCCTAACGGGGCTGAAGGGTTAATATATGGAATTCAAACATATTCATTCTTAACAAAAACTAGAAATAAATAAAATTAAGAAAGTTCCAATTCCTTGAATATTCTGAATGTAAGAAAAATTTTGGAAATATTATAGCAGATGGCTAACACCAGAAGATGTTCGATTTTGTTCATTTTTTCCAAAGATATTCTTTGGCTGATAGCAAGTAATAAAATCAAGATGACAACTTTTTATTTTAATTATAAGTACATTGATCCCTTTAAATTCGCGGGGGTTAGGTTCTCAAAATGGTCGCGAATTGCCAAATCCACGAAAAAACACAGGTTTTCCAGCATCTTCGTGGTGTAGATTAATATAATCTTTTTCTTTTTAATTTCTTTTACTCTTATTCCCCCCCGCCCCCCCAGCCCATGTTGGAGATTGATGACCTGTGCCTGGATGGGCTATTCCCCCGCAAAAATAATAATAATAAAATAAAGTTGCCTTTACCGGTACTGTATATCGAAGTAGTGACACCCCCTTTAGCCAGAACAATTGGTGCAGAGCATTTCTGGGAATGAGATATTTCCGCTTCACAAAACAGCTCTCAAGCCCCCAAAAAATCACCTACCCCTGGAATTTTTCCAGGTACAGCATGCCTTTAAAATTCGCAGGGGTCTGTGTCTCAAAATGGCCGTGAATTGCCAAAACTACGAATATCATTTGCTGACTGGGGTGGTGGTGGTTGTTGTTACATTTTTACTCATGTGCAAAGAAATGTACAGTACATTCCCTTTGTTTGCCGTTAGGACAATTATGTCTTTTACTTGTACTGTATGTGTGTAGCCACACACACAAAACACATACAAATAAATAATAATGGATAAATCCTCTCACAAAGAATACGAAACAAAACAACAAAATAATGTACAAAAAAATGCGAGACTACCCTCAAGTCAACTTCATCATGCTTTATTAAAGTTGGGTTGGTTGGGTTGCCATACGGAAATTTTTTCCACGTAAAAATTACTGTCCCTAGAACGAATGGTATCTGAGCACCAGCTGGGTTGATACGTAGATCAAACTTGCAAAATTTCTTTCGTGGCCATCTAGCCAACCCAACGTGAAGGATGCCGGTAATTGTGGTGTAATACTGTATACTTTTTCACAATATGTATGTAGGATTGTGTGTGCATGTAAACTAGTAAAAATAAATGAAGAAAGTTATGTATATCTACCCAAAATATACGAGTTGAAAAAACCACAACACCTCACAGCTTGGCCTGGTGGTTACAATGATGAGCTTATCTAGCTACAATGCCATGATTAATTACTATTAAACATTATTCTATCAGTAAACACTAATAATAACAGTAAATCCAGTGAAATATGGCAGGGAGTGAGTTACAACTGCAGACAACACTTAACTAGGGGTCAATCACTCCCCTTACCCGCTCCTGTTGCCAAGTGTATGTACGGGAGAAATATATGACCTTTTCTCTCTTCACTTGTTTGGGCACCTTCCCGCAGCTGGATGAAGGTGGTTAAGGGCATTTGGGAGCCATCACAAGCACAAGGAGCACAGTTGTTAGAAGAGCAGAGTTGCACACCCATGAGATGGATAAGTGTTTAACCCGGACTGTAACTGAGGCGGAGTGAATGCACATGGCCCAGCCACCTGGGACAAGAGACACCTTGCAGGACGCCATAAAACTTTGGAGCTCCCGGACCCTGCCGTGAAAATGCTAACTTTAAAACTCCCCGCAGACATTCTTAGGTATGTATATCAAGGGTGTCATCTGCAAATTAAAAATCCACAAATTGTAAGGGCATACAGTACTGTACTGGAAAAAGATTCCTGCAATTTTCCGGAAATTGTGCATTATTTCATCCTCGAAATTTGCTCCAGGACCTGGAAACAAATCTGGAGTTTCTGTAATTTTTCTTTTAATTTTCCAGAAAATGTGTCCGATTTTCAACCATGGAAAATCGTTCCCAAATCCGGAATTGAGATAAATTTTCCGGGCAAAATTGCAATTCCGGCTAAGAGGGATTCTGACTAGCTGTGATATTACTCTAAGTACTTTCTTTTTAATAAGAGGGGGGGGGGGGGCTAGGAAGAAATGCAAGGTTAGGTAGGTTTCTTGGTTGGTTAGGTCAGGCTCTATTTGGTTCTGTGCATTGTCAGATCATATTTATTACTTGCTATCATCCAAAGAACATCTGTGGAAAAAATGAGCAACTCATTCTGGTGTGAGCCATCTGCTCCAGGATTACCCCCCAAAAAAAAAATTCTATAGAAAATTTTCCTTAAAGTTGTTCCTTCTCTTTGGTTAGTGTTCCAAAGTACTGTATTATCTAGTTAGGTAAGGTATGGAAAAGTCACTGAAAATTGTTTTGTAACTTAGCATTCAGTTTGTTGCTGGGAGGTACTCATATAGATCAACAGCTGAAGTGTAATTATGGTAAACATAATTTCGTTGTCCTAGTGAAGTGGGACAATTAAAAGGAAATTTAACAAAATAAATTCCAAAACAAAATTTAAGTTATCGGTATACTGTAGTTCCTTTACGTTATATATAAGTGATGTTCTTTAAGTAAGAAAAAAAGTTTTATACAACTTTTTTGATTTATATATTTATTTATTTATTTTTATTTTTTTATAGTGGTTGGACATTGGGGGACAGTTATGGGGTTACAATCCAACTCGGCCCATCTCGGATAACCAACTCGGACCACTTCAGTTAACGAACTTTTACTAAAAAGTAAAAGTTTACACATTAAGTACAAAAGTACAATGATAAAAAGCAGCATAGATTGTAAGTGGTGGGGGGAATTGATGTTGTAATTATTTATCATTTCATTCTATCTTATTAATATATTATTGTACATTAAGTGGAAGAAGATACAACCACCGCACTGCAGTCCTTCCTGTTGGAGATGCACTATTGCCATGCATACCAAGCATTGGCCAGCCATGGTCAATATTCAGAATGTGACTGATCCTGTAATCTAACACCAACACAGAAAACGACCTCACTTTACCTGGTGACCTGACAACGACACCCTCACAAAATAAGAAAGTTGAGAATGACCTGATCACGAGATCTGAGTTTGACGAGTTTCACAATTTAAATAATGAGTTACTTAATGCACAAAGGCAGAACATACCATACAGAATACTCAGATCAAATAACAATGACCCCCAAGTGGATAAATAATTATTTAAAGAATATTATTAGCCAAAGGAAGGCTATAGGTTGGAGAATAAATCGTGGGGAAGTTTACCTCCGAGATTATTAAGACTAAGATATGAAAAGCAAAGACGCGAAGTTAAACCCCAAGGGATTCTTTCAAATGTATCAAACTAAAACACGAGACAAGATTGGACCAATACCTGCGAGCTAACTGATAATGACAGAGAAATGAGCAATAATCTGAACAGGTATTTTTAACAGTTTTCACCACCGAAAATTTAAACATGATACCTGAGGCACCGACTATATACAGAGATAGTGAAGAAAATAGATTAAGCGAGATAGTAGTGACTAGTAACGATGTTAGTAAGCAAATAGACAAGCTAAAATCTAATAAGTCACCAGGTCCTGATGAGATATTTGCCAGAGTATTAAAGGAATGTAAGGAAGAGCTTAGTATGCCCCCAAGCAAATTTGTTTTACATGTCATTAAAAACGGGTGTAGTACCAGAATCCTGGAGCATAGCGAGTGTGATACCGATTTTCAAGAAGGGAGATAGATCACAATCCTCTAACTACTTTGCGATATTTACATTCAGTCTTGCTCTTAGTACACTTTACTGAGGTTGGAAGAACACCATGCGATCGAAAAATGCTATAGTTTCTACGTTTTTTTTTCCAAAAACTCGCAATTAGCTCCATATACTTTAAGTGACATCCATCGCAGACTTCCATGGTCGGAACTGAACTTGAATTTCAAAATATGAGACCCAAAATAAAACTCGATTTTGATTGGGCCAAATATACTCTGAATTAAACCCAAAATCATGTTAATTGGTTCCAAAAGCAAAAACGCTTTTGATTGGCCGCGTGACGTGTACGGATACGCATGCGCGTCATGATTTATGAAGGAGACGCGAGAGACACGCAGTGTTGGGTGAGAGGCAGACGATAAGGCAGGAGGTTAATGAAAAATATAAATTTTTTGGTAAAAGCTATCTCCGTTATTATACATTTCCGCCGGTAATGTAATAGATGAAAATTATCTTATAATTAGACGTCTTATTCGAATATGATAATAGATTAGTGGTAGTAATGAACGGTGTGTAAACGCAATAATACCAAAATATATTTTTTACTTGGGCAGAATTATTATGTGTGGGCCGAGTTGGATGTACGGGGAGTGATCTTGATTATTACATAAACTTCATTAAGTTACACAATCACGAGCACCTTACCTGTAATGGTAGATTCTTAACAATCAGGCGAGACATAGTTATTCACTAGTACAACTTTTACGAAATAATTTACTTCTGTTAAGTTCTGCTTTTGCAAGTATGGAGATCTTTACGTTAAATGGCTAAAATAACACAATTGTTAGGTTTCCTCTATTATATGAAATATTTCATTGAGGATGTAACTATTCGTCTACTGTATTTTCTATCTGTTATTAGACGAGTATTTTACACTGCGGGTGCCGAAAGCACGTTGTTAAATATGATGTTCATGTTACGTAGTAGACAAACTACAGTGTGCCCTGGCCAGTGACCACGCTGTGCAGTGAGGCTGTGCTTGTTAAGTAGTAGACAAACTACAGTGAGCCCTGGCCAGTGACCACGCTGTGCGGTGCTTGTTTACAACTGTCACATTCACATACCCTGATTAATTATAATAATAATGTTAATACCACGTTGAAAGCAATTAACCCAAATACAGTCTCGACCAAAATATATAAGCATTGAACAACGTGATATAAGTTAATATTAATGTTGTTTGGGTAAACTGTGTTTGCTAACTCAAAAAATGATTACAGTGCACTATGTAGTCTGCTATATCACTTTAATATTATAAGCCGTGGTGTTTTTATCTTTTATAATTCCATTTTAGTAATATTCACTAAATATGAGACAAATTAAGCATTGCTATCTTGTTGTTTTATGGATGACTTGAATGCCAAAACAAGCGGAGCCACATAAGAAACAAAAATTCGAAGACATGTGAAAATACTGCTGCTTTATTATTAAATTGATAATTACTTTTTTTTGCTTGTATCATCATCACACGAATCATTCTTCGTCATTAATCGTTGTTATCAATTGTATTCGTAGTCTGATCGTAACGGATTTACTGATACCGGTATATATTTATACAAACATATATTTGTAAATTATTTGGGTTGTATATGTATTTTGCTAAATTAAAAGTTAAACCTTTAGTATAAATCGATAAAACGTAGTTGCTTTGTAGTATCTCATAAATATATGGCTGAATATGAGAAGAAGCAGATAACATTCAGTACATTCCCTGAGATAAAATATTCGTTTGAAATACATTCTTTAGTATAGTAGTTAGTGTGATAATGTGCATATATCGAGGCCATCTCAAACTACAATTGGTTGGAGAGAATGCGTAAATCCTGTTGAACATGGTTGATTATTGATCGTGGCGTACCCTTCTACGCTTCTGCGTACTCAAGTGTTTTTCTTGGTTCTTTTGTTGAAATTCATATTTTTACTTCTCTTAATTCAAGCATATACCCCATAGAAATATATGTTTACTACAAAATAAATTTTATTTTGTAATCGGAACGCGTAATTGATACCAAAATAGTGAGAAATCACTTTATTTCAGGCAATATCTGTGAAAATTGTTGCGTGTTTGGCGCCATCTAGGTAGAGGACGCGTGCTTCAGACTCCATGTTTGGCGTACAGTAAGGATGAAGAAAGAAACTGCATGGCGTGATATGATGGCTCACCCCGGCGGTGGCAATGGACCAAGAGGCCGGAATATGCCCCATGATGGCGAGGAGAAAGGGTAAGAACCCCATGGATTTTGAATAATTGCTGTTGATTGTTAAAAAATCCATATACACACGTAGTAAATATTAGGCGCGCACACGGCGTTTGTGCCACGCGCTTCTGTTTGTTTGGGTACAGAAGGCTTTCATATGTTGTTAAGGTATCATGATCACTAATCACGTATATTACCTTTACTTCCATGTTCCTCTCCTAATATGTTGTCCTCTTAGATGATAGGAACCAAATTAAGGAGTGAATACAAGAGATAAAGCGAAAAAGATGGTGTATGGAGGGGCAGGAGGGTGTACCTCCAACTCGACCCATTTCCACCTTTACCCATCTTAAATAACCAACTCTGGCCACCCAGTTAGCCAACTCGGCCCATCTTTAATAACCACATCGGCCCACACATTAGTAACTCGGCCCACCTTGCACACGTCAAACAAGTAGAGGATTAGAGGTTCAGGAATGAGTTTGAGTTTGTTTTCCGTCTCTTGGTTCACTGAAATATGAAGAAAGTGACTACCGAGGGTTCAATCAGCATGAAGGATGTTTTTATGCGTTTTTAATAGAACTTGATCAATAAACCATTATTCACATTCGTAACAAAGGAGTTACCTGTCTTTATAAAGTGTAAAGGGCAGTCACTTAATTTTGGTGTTAGATTGCAGGAGCAGTCACATTCTGAGTCCTGACCATGGCTTACCAATGCTTGGTATACATGGTCCACCTTGCACACTTCAAGCAAGTAGCTGGCTAGAGGTTCAGGATTGACATCTGGACCCCATGCTTGGAGTGTCAGCACAAATAATGTGAAGGGTGGCATAATCGCTTCTACTTGAAAGCAATAAAAGGACAACTTAATGGTCATTTTTCGTTAACCACAACCACCCATCACCTTTTTACAATTTTTTTCCTCTTACCATTTAATAGATCTCTCCGTGAAACAAAATAATAAACAAATGTAGTGGGGCATTCTAAAAATAAGCGATATTCGTGATTTATTTGTTGTAACAATCATTTATCCCCCCTTGGCTAAGGAACACGACGTTATTTCCCCCCCCATCTAAGTAGGACGTGGCCAGTTAGGTTAAGTCAGGTCTGGTTAGGTCAGGACGTGGCCTGTTAAGTAAGGTTAGGTTAGTACATAGAGCTAGTTTAGTTTTAATCTTTTTTCCCATGTAAAATATATTTTTTTTGCTAAATTTTTTGGTGTTTTTAGATGATTATGACATTTATAATTGGTGAAAATCACATGTTTTTAACCCTCTACATTGTTGGGCTGGAAAGGGGGTGGGAATAACTAAAAAAAAAAAAAAAGAGAGAGAGAGAGATTTGTTCCGAAGATAAATGTCAAAATCAACTCAACCAGCAAGAAAACTAACAAAAAAAAATTCATGTGAAAAAAGGTGATGGGTGGTTAATGAAAAATGACCAACTTAGCTTCTCTCTGTTAATCAACCTACTCCATAATGAAGCAAAATTAGAGACACTCCAGGTGCGGCTCTTGTCCGACGGTAAAGTTCTATGAAAACAACTGGCCAAGTATATACACCAGCAAGGACAGCTCTTCAAACTGTGGGATGAATTCAGTAGTGGACGAAGATCTGCTGAAAAGTTGCTACGAGCCGTTTCACATCACGTGAATGTTTATCAGTAATGTTTGTACTTTTATGCTGCTTTTTATCATTGTAATTTTTTACTTTTGTCTCATGCTAAAATAAATGTGTAAAATGTGTTCGTTGACCTAAGTGGTCTGAGTTGGTTTTCCGAGATGATCCGATTAGGATATGGGCCGAGTTGGACTGTATTCGTGGAGGAGCACCTCCCCGCCACCATTTGTATAGGTGTTACTCGTTCCCACGCCAGGCTATTAATTACCCCTTTAACTTATCCAGTGATTATAATGGATATAAACTACTGTACTAAATATTGAATCAAAAGCAAATTGTTAGCTCTCCCTCGTTTAACCAGTGGTCTTTCATACTGTACTGAACTGTATCAATGTCCAATTTTTCAGCTTCAGTCACCTTGACATTTAAGATTTTATCATGTGTTATTTGCTATGTAAACATATTTGTTCTTTGTTTTTGTTAAACATATTCAGCTTCAGGTACTCTCTTGGGCAAGGGTTAGGGTCTTTTCGTACCCAATACAACTCATACCCAAGATAACTCGTACTCACATAACTCGTCACATAACAATTTGAACTGTTCAACGAAATAAAGGACAGTTCACCGATGGCTTTGACATTATATCTCATCCTTTGACAGTTCCTTGTAATGAATTGAAGCTGTAACAAAATGGTTTGACATGATTTACTCACAATTATTGACAAAGCACTGAGGGTATTGATAATGACAATAAAAGATTGGATAGTTTTACACATATATTTGACAATTAACATAAGCTTTGAATGGCATATACAGTAGTGCGTGTATATAAACGATATACTGTATACAGAAACTCAATAATTAATTAATTCAGCAAAACTCAGGTCCCTCTACATTACAAAGCTTCAAACGGGTCATTAGCAATGATGATTTCCGTCCCAGATGTCCTCTCGTGCAGTACACCTCCATAAGTATGTCTGGGAGTTCTGGTAGTTTGCTGAACAAAGGGTACCATCAATACTGGGGACTGCTGTCCTCAGTACTTATTGAAGTCTCTCTCGACACATTCTTAAGGTGACCCCATGTCGACGTGCAGCGCAACGATCAGTTATGTTGTTCAGTTGTTGTTTCACAGTAGCTTTCAGTACTGAGAAGCAATTCTCAATAGGATTTAGGAGAGGTGAGTGGAGGAAGCTTCTTGATGACACGATCCTCAAATTCCTGTTCAATTCCTGCATGACATGGTGCATTATCCATTAAAATCACAGCAGTCTCAGGACCTAGCACACAATCCAGTGAGGTCATGAAGTTTTTGAATACTTCCTTGGTTACAGATTTTGTATAAATTTCATAATAGAATAGGCCTGCCAGATAGGCGATTGCTGCTATCAATGTCACGTTACTGCCACTCTGTCCTGCAATGATCTGTTGACACATTGTCCCCAGCTGTAGGTCCTACACGTATAAAGGTTGTAGCCGGTTTCATCTGTGTGCACACGATGTAGATGAATGCCATCCTTATACAGTTAACCCTCACTTTACGCGGTTAATGTAACCCGGAGGGTACCGCGGAAAGTGAGGAACGCGTAAAGTGAATAACATAACATGTGGGATTAATTGAAATAGAGTCCAGGCCGACCCCCAAACTCCACTTTTTGACGACACACAACTATGTTGTAGTAAAAATATTATCTTAACTTTATGATGGCATGCACACACAATTAATAATTAAGAGAAATATCAATAATATTAGGTTTTTTAACACTTACATTAGTAGAAAAGATGGCTGGGCACACGGGGATGGGCGGTTGGTTCCGAGGCAGAGGGCAGATTATTGGCCCTCACCTGTATCACTTGTATCAATTGTATCACTATCCACCACAGAGGCTTGCAGGGCCTCTTTGTCAAACCCCCCAAAGTTCATATAAGTCCATATCCTCACTATAATTATCACTATCACTGACTTGGGCCAGCTGTAGTGGGTGGCGGGTGAAGAACTGGTAATGTTTTGATGACTGGGCGACCTTGTGCGCACCATTTTCGCACCTCTTACACAACATGGCGGATGGCGGGAGGTTTGGATCCAAAAATGGCGCGGCTTGCCAGCTGCTCTCCGCGTAATGGGGTACACGCACCGTGGAATGTGAGCATGTTAGGTTCCGGCAGGGCACCGCGTTAACGGTGAAACGCGGAATGTGGGACCGCGTAATGTGAGGGTTGACTGTACATGTACTGAGTAAATGCTACATGAGCAGCTTTCGCGTACTCTGAATTGCAGTTAGCCGGCAAGCTTAAAGGTGAGAGTTTTGTGGTGCCGAGAAGAAAGAGACACCCATTTTAGATTTTCTATGTATTATCTTCGCATTTTCGACTTATGACCTGAATTTGGGTCCCTAATCCCATCGTAAGTCGAGGAGTGGCTTTTTTTTTTTTTTTTTTGGCGGGGCTTGCTTGCTTGCAAGTTGTCCAGCACCACTTAGGCAACATCTGTGGGTTTATTACTTGATTTCTGAAGGAAGTGCCAATATCCTGGACCTTTGTTAGTTCTTGAAGTAAAGTATCAGTAAAAGGGTTAGCTAGTTAGATAAAGATTTGATAGTGACCATAATGGGAAATTAATATAACCTACATAGTTTTATCTTATGTTTTTCATGGTGATTTAAAAGAATGCCATTTATTTTAATTACATGCATTTGTGTGTTTATATATTCTTCACTACCAATGAGTTGCAACTGACTGCATACCGGTACTGCTTAACCATTCAGTGCCCGAAAAATTATCTGTGAGTAGTGTGAAAATTGTTTAACGATTATCGTGTAAACTAAGTAACCATTACAAGTGATAATAATAATCCCCATAAATTAGCATATTTTGCAAAAAAATGAATATTTTATTTGTAACAAACTGCTAATTTGCAAAAAAATGGTGGTCAGGTTTGAGTAAATCACACCAAAACCCTAACCTAACAACCTACAATATATATAACCTAACCCAGCTTTTGGTGCTTATCTGCCACTGTGGTGGAGGATACAGCTCGGCGACCTGGAGAAGGAAGTGATGGAAGATGGTAATTTCTGTCTTTAATTAAAAGTAAATAATTTCCACACAGGACAGTCATGATGTTGGTAGGTCACTGTGATCGTGTAATATTTTTATTGTTTCACTGTCATTCTCATAAACTCACTGAATACAGTAACAGTTAGATATGGGAGAGAACACTTATCATATGCTATCACGAAAAACTTCAAAACTTGAAAGTGCACAGTGGAAGGCTGGTTAAAAATGATTGGCCAGCCTCTGGCAACATGGCAGATACAGAAATATACACATAGTAATTTGAGATGCTCCACTAATATTGATTTGCACAAGAAATGATATGAAGCCATATGTTTGGTTTTTTATA